GAATTGCAACTGCGGGGGCACTCAAACGTGTCCTACGCTTCTTGTGTCTTTTTGGGGTCTGATTTGGCTTCACTCGAGGCACATTCTCCAAACCCCCAGGCAAAGGGCCTGCCTTGTCCCAAATCAATAAAATGTTGTTGAAAATCCCCTTTCCCCCATGGCAATGTTGCAACACGTTGGTCATGTCAGACCGACCTTCAGCGTCCAACATTGCCATTGGGGGCTCGGGGGCACACGCAAGGGCTTATGACCGGAGACAAGCATCCTTTTCCAGGCTCTTCAAGCTCCAAGCCCTTGCAATTTCAAGGTAGCTCTCAAGCTCGGGCTGCGCTGCTTACTGCGTTCTGCAGACCCTGCATGCAACACTGCAGCAACCTGCAGACCCTGCAGACCTGCAGCAAGCATGCGGACTCTGCAGCAAGCCTGCAGGCCCTGCAGCAGCCTGCAGCAAGCCTGCAGACCCTGCAGCAAGCCTACAGCTGCAGGGTTTGTAGGCCCCTCGGCAAGCCTGCAGACCCTGCAGCAGCCTGCAGGCCAGCAGGGCCTGCGGGCCCTGCAGCAAGCCTGCAGACCCCTGCAGCAAGCCTGCAGACCCTACAGACCCAGATCCTGCAGCAAACCTGCAGACCCTGCCGCACGCCGCCCCTACAGACCCTACAGCAAGCCTGCAAAACCTGCTGGCTGCCTCTCCCCCCAGCCTGGATGGCTTCCAGTCCTCAATTACTTGGACATTTTCCTGCTTTCACACGGAGTCCATTTCCCCTTTCAAACACAAAGGCTTGAAGGCCCCAGAGTCTGCAGGAAGCTTGAAAGCCCCTGACCTGTAGAACTGCAAATTAAAAACCAGGTGTCACACATGCTCCGCGCTGTAGGAAAAGCTCGATTTTTCGGCCAGTCTAATTTCATGAAAACTAGTACTACACGCTCCGCGCTGTGGGAAAAGCTGGATTTCGCCTCAGGTGTAATTTCATCAAAACTGGTACTACACGCTCCGCGCTGGGCAAAAACCACAGTGTACTACATGAATGCATAGTTTTTTCAAAACTTTAAGGTTCATGTAATGTTTCTACTTGGAATCAAGGTACTACACGCTGTTTTCCCACATTTTTTGAGTGTAGTACTCGTGCACAGGTCTGCTACACGCGCTTTCTCAAGGGTTATACGGTTTACCAGTCTTTCAAATACTCAAGTAAGGCCTCACAGTCCCCTTCAAGGGCTCCAAAACCTCATCAGGACCTCCCAGAGCCTTTTTTCCAACTTTTGCGGGCTGCCCGTTGGAAAAATCGCTGAAAAAGTACCCCCCAGTGGCAACCTGAATGGCGCCTATATGAATAAGTACAGGCCCACCACCGACCAGTGCATTTTTATTGTCTTATGTCGGGAGCGGTCCTCACGTCGGGCAAAATTTTGGCGAGCTTCAAAAGTGTGTCTTCTCATCAGAAATCGCACAGTTTTTGGCCCTCATTTTGAGGCCAGAAATTGGGTCCCAAAACTGGGTCTGCCTGATTCGAAACTCTTAGAAAAGATCCCATTTCGGGCTTCGCTTTGGGGCCCAAAAATGGGACCCTAGAATGGGCCGTAAAACATGGCAAGTGTGCTTCAATTTTGCGGAGACACGCAAAGCATGCACCACATGTTTGGGTCGGGCGCAAAGATAGTCAGCGGTCGCTTAAGACTGTTGGCAATAGCGTTATAACGGAACAAGTATTGCACATGACAAGCTGAATTGCAACTGCGGGGGACTCAAACGTGTCCTACGCTTCTTGTGTCTTTTTGGGGTCTGATTTGGCTTCACTCGAGGCACATTCTCCAAACCCCCGTTGGAGCCAACAAAAACGCTCCAAAACGCTCCAAAATGGCCTCTTTGTGACCGCGTTGTGAAGTTGTGACCGCGTTGTGACCGCGTTGAAGCTAAAAAACGCTCCACAACGCTCCAAAATGGCCTCCGTGTTGTGACCGCGTTGTGACCGCGTTGTGACCGCGTTGTGACTGCAAGGTGTTGTCGTTGTCAACATGGAGCGGAAAAAGAATTTCATTTGTTTCCATAATGACAAATATGAGCCAACAATGATTCAACAATGACTCAATAATGTCGCAATAATGACTCAATATTTGCAATCTTTGCTCGAAGCAGGAGAGTAGCAGCAGCAACAGCAGCAGTAGAAGTAGTAGGCAGACTTCGAAGAGACTTCTCCAAAAAGACTGCAGTCTTCACCGCAAAAGATTCCATAAAGACTGAGTCTCTCACCGAGTCTCTGCAGCGACTGCTGCTTGTGCATTATACTGCAGTTTGCAGCACTTTTACGATTCGCCACTGTTCTTCGTGACGCTGCAACAACGCTGATCAGCGGGACGGTGGCAGAACAGACAGGGCAGTGGGCGGAGTGGCCAGGCGGGAGTGCAGAGCAGCAGCAGTGGCAGAGAGCAGCAGTGGCAGGGCAGCAGTGCTAGGGCAGCAGTGGCAGAACAGACTGCAGAGTGGGCAGGCTGGCAGGGCAGCAGTGGACAGCTGTGGCAGGGCAGCAGGGCGGGGGTGGCAGAGCAGCAGCAGTGGCAGGGCGGAGTGGCAGAGCAGCAGTGGCAGCCACAAGGTCGCCACAGGGTCGCCACTGGGTCGCCACTATGATTCCGTGGCTCGCTCGGTTTGATTTATGGTAACTTATTCCAAAAGCCACTAAAATGTCACGAGCCTCTGTTGTAGCAACGTCACTACAACGTCACTACAACGTCACTACCACGTCACTACAACGTCACTACAGCGACACTACAACGTCACTACAACGTCACTACAACGTCACTACAACGTCACTACAACGTCACTACAGCGTAACTACAACGCTTTTGCAGCATTTTCGCGCAACGTCACTACAATGTCACTACAGCCGCTTCTGCAGCATGGTCACAACAACGTTTCTGCAACGTCACTGCAACGTCCCTACAGTGTCACTACGCAGCCTCTTCGATCTGCAGCATGGTCAGTGCAACGTCACTACAACGTGACTACAACGTCACTACAACGTCACTACAGCCTCTTCTGCAGCATGGTCACTACAACATCACTACACTGTCATGTCAGTACAGCCGTTTTCGCAGCATGGTCACAACATCACTACAGCGTCACTGCAATGTCACTACAGCCCTTTTGGCAGCACGATCACTACAACGTCACTACAACGTCACTACAACGTCACTACAATGTCATTACAATGTCACTACAGCCGCCTTGCAGCATGGTCACACAACGTCACTACAATGTCACTACACCGCTTTCGCAGCACGGTCACAACGTCACGACAACGTCTCTACAATGTCACTCTACAGCCGCTTTTGCAGCATGGTCACAACAACGTCACTGCAACGTCACTAGAATGACGCAACGTCACTACAACGTCACTACAGCCGCTTTTGCAGCACGGTCACGACAACGTCACTACAATGTCATTACAGGTGTGCGCTTTTGCAGCACGGCCACTACAACGTCATGACAACGTAGTATCACTACAGCCGCTTTTGCAGCATGGTCACACAACGTCATATAGATTCTGCGAAAAAAGCTGTTTAATTCAACTACAACTAAAATAGTGACAAAATATGAACCAACAAACGACTCAATAATGATTCATAAACGCACCAGCAATGACGCAATAATGCCGTAATCGTATCACAGACGCAAAACGTCTTGAGTTAAGTCTTCGCACTCATCGGTCACTACACGCAGGTCACGTGGTCACTACGCGGACGGTTCCAAGAGCGAAACCCTAGCTCTCTCTTCAACGGCTCGCGTACTCCCACTCCCACGCCCCAGTTACTTTTTAAACAATTCATGCAGGAATGATCCGTCATGTTTGAATGTTTTGGACTCAAACCCCATTCGTTTAGGTTTAGATGTCGCTCAAATCTCATTTCTCAACCTCATTCGTTTTGGATTTGGGCCGACACCACGGCCGAGGAAGCAAAACAATTCCAACAGAAAAGAGGCTGACGGTTCGGCAATCAAGCTGAAGCTCGCTTGCAGATTCGCGTGTCTGCATCGTAACGCGTGACCGTGACCTCCATGACCGCGTCCGTCCACAACGCATCGTGACCGCATCGTGAGCGTGTCGTGCCCTGTCGTGACCTGTCGTCGTGACCGCGTCGTGAGCGTCCTGTCATGTCCATGTTCGTGACTGCATCACGTCCTCGCGTCGTGGATGTGCGTATCAATGGTGGGTTCCACCTGTTGAGACATTCCAGGAGTTTGTAAAGCTGCTGTGCAAAGGGACCAGCATCCCACAACAGGCCCACAAACGAGTGTTTTTGAGGCACATCAGGCCACAGGCCTTGAAGCAGAGTTCCAAAAACTGGAGTGGAACAAATATGTGGAACACTAAGCGGCGAACCATCCACTGGCTTCATATTACCACTTAATTCTGAGAAGCAATGCGATTTAGAAGTTGGGTGTGAAGCGAGATCTCCGACACTGTGCAGACTTGCGATGCGAGCATTGCACCTGTTCTTCTCCAAGGGTGAGCTTCGAAGAAGATGTATCTCAGTTGGCGAAGGGCGGTAGACATTAAGTGATGACCTAACGAAAGCCCTGTGCTTAGAAACTTGCGCGCGAATTTGCTCGCCTGTCTTCGGTTACAAACGGGCGATGCCCATTTGTACATGTTGTACATGTTCTGTGGTGCCCCGACTCCCTGATCTTGCAGGACGGCCATGGTGGCTTCCAGCTCGTTGGCAATGCTATTCCAATCGACCCAGTGCCGCAAAACGTTGCACTCCTGACCTGTATTTGTTGAATGTATTTTGATCGCGCGCCTGATGGTAACGCCTTGCGCGGGTGCTTGATGGCGCGAGACTTGATGTGTCCGTTAATGCAGGTGTTGGCACAACCCATTGAGTTGAGGTTTGTCACTCAAGCAGTCAGCTGCAGCATTCATGAGATCCGGCGCACCATGTGTTGACAGACTGTTTGCCATTTTATCATGCACACATTGAGCATCCACGTGTCACTTTGAATGTCTTCTGCCATGAAGCGACCTGCAGAAGATGAAAAAGAGCCACCTGCTAAGGCGCCTCGAACATTGCCCCCCATTGGAAAGGTAGCTGATGAAGAGAAGCATGTCTTCATTTCTGTGGAGGATTCTGCTGAGAAGATTGAGAAGCTGTTTGAAGGAGACCATGACGTTGTATTCATCCGCGGTGGCGTGGCCATCGGCAAGACCACATTGGCAGAGCATTTGGGCCGCTCTGAGAAGTATGTGAATGTGCCCTTCACTGAACATGGTCTTGACGATGCTTGGAGGGTGAGCACAGTGGAAGCCGTGGAACACGCAACAGGCAAAGTTGACGGAGATGGTTCAGCTTTCCGGAATGCGCTGAAGCAAGCCAAAGACAACAACTTGACCCTGATTTATGATGAAGCTCACACACTGTTCCTCTCTCCAGACCTATGCTCAGCCCTATTCAAAGCAAGCGTTCACTATCGACCACGGGTCTTGCTGTTCTCAGCGTCAGGTGATGCTTCAAACACATCAGGCCTCGCCATGACAACGCCAAGTGAAATCACCCAAAAATTCATGTGGACACCACCTCTACCCTGCAGTCCAGACCTGAAAGGACAGCTGGAGGAAAGTGGCGTCAAGCTGGACGAAGAGAGCATCGACTTCTTCGCCAGCTTCTGTGGTGGGCATCGAGGCATTTTCATGGCTGCGATGCACTGGGTGAAGAGCAAGCAGACGAGTGGTGAACGCTGGAATGTCAATAAGACGGTGGGGGTTGTGCGGAATAGCTATAGCCATGGACAGTGGGATTGTAGCGACACCGAGATTCTGGGCGCTCTGAAAGAGAGCCGTGCCGTGAAAGTCAATGGACGATACAGCTCTGTTGAACATACGCCAAAAGAGTTTGTAGAGCTCTTGTGTGCAGGGGCACGGCCCATCGGACAAGACATTCGGAGAGAGCTCACCATCAACGGCTTCGTGCTTCCAAAATATGACAGCGCAGAAGAGCTTCAGAAGCTGAATTGGACCAATGACGACCTGCATTACAAGGTGGCGAACCCTTTGCTTGCCGCGTACTACCGCTTCCAACTGCAGAAGACCTGTGGCTTACAGCTTCAGATCTGGCCCAGCAGTCCCGAAAACTGTGCAGACTTACTGATGCGAGCATTGCCCTACCTGTTCTTCTCCAAGGTCGTGAGCTTCGAAGGAGATGTATCTCAGTTGGCGAAGAGCGGTCTCCCACACGAGCAACAGTATAACCAAGCCATCCTCAGTGTGTTGACGGAAATCGGCTACAAGCCCTTTGCTCCACAATCGTCTCAGCAGGGAGCAGGGAAACCAGACCTTATGGTCAGCATTGGCGAGGAGACCTTTGCTTTAGATGGCATGAAGCAAAACATCCAAGAGCACCTTAGGCGCTTCAATAGCATGACGAACTACAAGAACGCCAAACACAAGGGTCTCTATATCATCGGCAACGACAATGCGAGGATGCTCGAGACCTGTCGCAACACTGAAGCTGGTGATGTGCAAATCATAGGCTTGGTCCCCAACATCGCCCACACCGCCTACACCGTTCACGTGAAGACCAAGGGCATGAGAAGCATCAACACCTTCAGGGTGGACTGCGACCTCGTGGCAAGGAGGCTGGTGCTCAAGGACGACGGCGAGCCTGAGCTCTACAGTGTGCAATCGCTGAAGAGCGTCAACCTGTTTACAAAAGCTCAGAGCAGACGCTGGGTGAGAAGTCTGGTAGTATTGTTTTTGTTTTGTCTGTCATCCTTCTCTGCTTCTGTGTTTCGGAAATAGGTCTCTTGCCTTCGTGCACATGTCATGATCTGTGCTCCTTTTTTCTCTTGTTTGATCTGCAAATCTCGGCTACGTTGCGTCTGTTAGCACCCTGTGAGGCCCATCTGCCGGATCTGCAGGCGCAAGAGTTGCAAGGTTTGAGACCGTTGCAGGTGCCAAGACATGTGACCATCAGAGATTGCCAGCCTTTAGCGTTCTGCGAAGCTCTGCAGGCGCGACCTCAATCTCATCCGTCTGGGTGCGGGAGCTGATCCGCAAGGACTGTGCTGTCTGAGAGCAAATGCCGGTGATTGGAGCGCAAGCAATCGTTGACTGCATCAGTAGCATTCAGTAGCTGAATCCTGGGTTGGGGCACGGCTGTTTGGACGCTCGCCCGGCGCACCGTTGTCGGCAGGGGGCGGAGATTGGGGGCACACGTCCGTTCGTGGACAGGGGAGGGGCTTCGGGAAGCGGTTCGGGGCTGGGAGCTTTGGCTGTTTCTTGCTGGAGTTTCAGTTTGCTGTCGGTTCACGTCTGCCGAAGTTTTGACCCGCTCGACTTGCAGGATCGGACGGTCACGGACAAGCTGAGGCCCGAGGAGGATTCCGATGCAAACAAATCATGTCCACATTGAAAGCAGTGCATTCTCCAAGACGGGTGGCTGAATTTGTTCGCATCTCTGTTGCCGACTCACAAATGAAGTTCGATGACGGCAAGGAGTTCGAGCCGACGGGCAATGCCTTCAAAGTGAAAGGAGCATTGGCTGACGCAGTGACCTTAGATCCACTTACTTGATTGCCTCACTTCATGTCTGTGTTTATGAGCGGTTTTCCACGCTTTTGACGTCAGGTGGATGACTTGAAGAAGGCCCTGCGCTTGGATCTTGCGCGTGGATCTAGCTCGTCCTGTCTTTGGAGTTGTTTGCAGATGGGCGATGAAAAAGATTGAAGTTTAGAGTGTCCTTGTTTGCTCATGAAGTCAGGCAATCAAAGCGGAAGAGGAACTGTCCATCGCAGCATCCAAGATTAGTGTATACAGCCTGAAGGAGAGCTTTTCATGTCAATCCCACTCTCCTCCCTAGCCCTCCCTGTGCCGCGTTTCAGCGTGACTTCGCAGGACAAGGCCTGGGTGAAGGAAGAAAAGATGTCAGCAAGTCTGCGCGGCACAACTGAGCCCAGCACTTGGTTTCGATGCCTTTTCAGCTTAGGTTTTTTGCTGTCGCCCCGCTCGCAGGGCTGATTGCTATGGGTTCGTGGTGCCACCGGCGGACGACGTATAAGTTGCATGCGTGTGCCTCAGCAGCGCCGGAGTTTGAGCGCTGCGAACTTGCATCCGTCCTTGTTGTGTGAGCTTCTCGGCTGAGGTAGCAACAGCATCACGGACGTTTTTTGCGCTGCGGCTTTGCTTGACTTCCAGGATTAGCAGACAGCAGTTCAATGATTCCTTGAGCAGGCTACGGCGTTCAAGTTTTCAAGTCAAGCTGGGCGTGCCCAGTGCTGGTCAAAAGCAGTTTCACAGAGGCGCTCTTGGTCGTGCTTAAGTGCACAGACGCGGCCAATCCATTTGAAGAAATCTGGGGGAAGAGCGCTTGCATTGCTTGCTCATGCCAGCATGATGTAGAACGCTTCAAGCATGACAGCAATTTTGCGTAAGTGTTGTCCAGCCCTGGCGTTCTTCAACTTTGAGTCTTACTTGTTCGCGTGATTTTTCTGGCAGATTCGTGAATGAAATTGGAGAATCCGCGCTCGCAGCTGTGCGGGCTCTGGGTTTCACTCGTCAACCTTGCGACGTGCATGGTGTAAATCGTCGGTGTGGCCATGTTTGCAAGTGACGTGCTTCGAACGTGCAGCAAATAGTGAACGATCTCTACTTTGAGGCCACACCAGTTCTATGTCAGCCTGCTTGTCCAGCTGGCTACTTAAACAATCTGCATTCTTTGATGTCTCTTTTCGCACGCGCAAGGGTACAGAAGTCGCTGCTGAAAGATGAGCGGGTGCAGCGTCAGCGATGAAGGGTGCACTGCTTTACATTGCAGTCTGACACCACTCATCGCTATGCCCCTTGTCGCTGATCAGTGTCTCACACAGACAGCTACGGCGCCGGAGGCAAGCGGCCGCGAGCAAAACAGCCACTCAACGGCATTGAAGCTAACTAGCAGTTGGCCGCAACAAAACTAGCAAACAAAACTGAAACACCAAATCTGGGAATACAGATTTTGAATAGGATTAGAAACACGAGATAGAACTTTTTACGCTGTGACACGCATCCGCCCGATGGATCCAATCTTTTCCTGCGTTGTAACCCGTAGACCCGTGACCCGTAGTGACCCGTGGCGACCAGTCGTCTGTTATAACCGCGTTGGGGGCGCTCCTCTCGATCAAGCCAGGAAGCGCGTCACATCTTGCCATCGAGCTTGTTTGAGGGTTTTTGCTTGATTGCCGAAGCCGGTTCTCGGATTTTCGTAGACCAGCTTGATGATATTTCCTCTTTCATTTGCCATGTTTTTTCTGTGTGGGGCTTTTACTTGCTCGGCTAGGCTGGAGTGGCGCTGAGCCTTTGAAGAGTTTGGGCGTAGTGACCGCGTAGTGACAACGTAGTGACCCGCTGTGATCCCGTAGTGATCCGTAGTGACCCGTAGTGACCCGTAGTGACTCCTAGTGACGCACAGTGACCGTCACAGCTGCGTCGCGAAGAACAGTCGTAAAAAGCGCTGCAAACTGCAGTATGATGCAGAAGCAGCGCTTCGCTGCAGAGACTCGGTTAGAGACTCAGTCTTTTTGGAATCTTTTACGGTGAAGACTGCAGTCTTTTTGGAGTCTCTTCGAAGTCCGCCTACCACTTCTACTGCTGCAAACTGCTGTTTCTGCTACTACTGCTTCTACTTCGAGCAAGATTGCGACATTGTTGAGTTATTGTTGGCTCATATTTTGTCCTTCTTGAGCCATTCTTGAATTAAACAAAATTCTTTTTGTGTCTTTTTGAGCAAAATTTGCATTTTTTATTCTGCAGCAAACGACTTTTTTGTGCATTGTAGTGATGTTGTAGTGACGTTGTAGTGACGTTGTAGTGACGTTGTAGTGACGTTGTAGTGTCGCTGTAGTGACGTTGTAGTGACGTGGTAGTGACGTTGTAGTGACGTTGTAGTGACGTTGCTACAACAGAGGCTCGTGACATTTTAGTGGCTTTTGGAATAAGTTACCATAAATCAAACCGAGCGAGCCACGGAATCATAGTGGCGACCCAGTGGCGACCCTGTGGCGACCTTGTGGCTGCCACTGCTGCTCTGCCACTCCGCCCTGCCACTGCTGCTGCTCTGCCACCCCCGCCCTGCTGCCCTGCCACAGCTGTCCACTGCTGCCCTGCCAGCCTGCCCACTCTGCAGTCTGTTCTGCCACTGCTGTCCTAGCACTGCTGCCCTGCCACTGCTGCTCTCTGCCACTGCTGCTGCTCTGCACTCCCGCCTGGCCACTCCGCCCACTGCCCTGTCTGTTCTGCCACCGTCCCGCTGATCAGCATTGTTGCAGCGTCACGAAGAACAGTGGCGAATCGTAAAAGTGCTGCAAACTGCAGTATAATGCACAAGCAGCAGTCGCTGCAGAGACTCGGTGAGAGACTCAGTCTTTATGGAATCTTTTACGGTGAAGACTGCAGTCTTTTTGGAGGAGTCTCTTCGAAGTCTGCCTACTACTTCTACTGCTGCTGTTGCTGCTACTACTCTTCTGCTTCGAGCAAAGATTGCAAATATTGAGTCATTATTGCGACATTATTGAGTCATTGTTGAATCATTGTTGGCTCATATTTGTCTCATTATGGAAACAAATGAAATTCTTTTTCGCTCCATGTTGACAACGACAACACCTTGCGGTCACAACGCGGTCACAACGCGGTCACAACGCGGTCACAACGCGGTCACAACGCGGTCACAACGCGGTCACAACACGGTCACAAAGAGGCCATTTTGGAGCGTTGTGGAGCGTTTTTTAGCTCCAACGCGGTCACAACGCGGTCACAACGCGGTCACAACGCGGTCACAACGCGGTCACAAAGAGGCCATTTTGGAGCGTTTTGGAGCGTTTGTTGGCTCCAACGCGGTCACAACGCGGTCGCAACGCGGTCACAAAGAGGCCATTTGGAGCGTTTTGGAGCGTTTTTTGGCTCCAAGCGGTCACAACGCGGTCACAAAGAGGTCACAAAGAGGCCATTTTGGAGCGTTTTTTGGAGCGTTTTTTGGCTCCAAAAAAACCCCCCCCATAAGCCTACTTTCTCTATTATTTTAAATCATCGTGAATGCTCTGGTAGCACGGACGTTGTCATCGTGCGAACAGCAGTGCTCTGGTAACACGGACGTTATTCGCGCGCGCGCAACGAAGCCACGAAGTGTCGCAAATACCGACGTTTTTGCGTGGAAGTTATCATCGTGCGGACGTGGATGCTCTGTGAAAACGGACGTTATCATCGAGCGGACATGGGTGCTCTGCTACCACAGACGTTATCGTTGCGCGGACATGACTGCTGTGGTAACTATCATCGTGCGCGCATGGATGCTCTGGTAACACGGACGTTATCATCGTGCGGACATGGATGCTCTGGCCATTTGCACGCAACGAAGCCACGAAGTGTCGTAAATACCAATGTTTTAGTTTACCATCCCCAAACCCAAACTCGCAAGTTTATTGAACAACAAGAAAAAGGGAAGGAGGACTGGAGCATGGAATATGCGCGAGACCTAGGTTTTAACAGTACAAAGGCTGGAAAAGTGCACCTTCGCAAACGTGACAGTAGCTTAGTAGTAGTAGTAGTAGTAGTAGTAGTAGTAGTAGTAGTAGTAGTAGTAGTAGTAGTAGTAGTAGTAGTAGTAGTAGTAGTAGTAGTAGTAGTAGTAGTAGTAGTAGTAGTAGTAGTAGTAGTTAGTAGTAGTAGTAGTAGTAGTAGTAGTAGTAGTAGTAGTAGTAGTAGTAGTAGTAGTAGTAGTAGTAGTAGTAGTAGTAGTAGTAGTAGTAGTAGTAGTAGTAGTAGTAGTAGTAGTTATAGTAGTAGTAGTAGTAGTAGTAGTAGTAGTAGTAGTAGTAGTAGTAGTAGTAGTAGTAGTAGAGTAGTAGTAGTAGTAGTAGTAGTAGTAGTAGTAGTAGTAGTAGTAGTAGTAGTAGTAGTAGTAGTAGTAGTAGTAGTAGTAGTAGTAGTAGTAGTAGTAGTAGTAGTAGGAGTAGGAGTAGGAGTAGTAGTAGTAGTAGTAGTAGTAGTAGTAGTAGTAGTAGTAGTAGTAGTAGTAGTAGTAGTAGTAGTAGTTAGTAGTAGTAGTAGTAGTAGTAGTAGTAGTAGTAGTAGTAGTAGTAGTAGTAGTAGTAGTAGTAGTAGTAGTAGTAGTAGTAGTAGTAGTAGTAGTAGTAGTAGTAGTAGTAGTAGTAGTAGTAGTAGTAGTTAGTAGTAGTAGTAGTAGTAGTAGTAGTAGTAGTAGTAGTAGTAGTAGTAGTAGTCAGTAGTAGTAGTAGTAGTCTAGTAGTAGTCGTAGTCGTAGTCGTAGTCGTCGTCGTAGTCGTCGTCGTAGTCGTCGTCGTAGTCGTCGTCGTCATAGTAGTAATAGTAGTAGTAGTAGTAGTAGTAGTAGTAGTAGTAGTAGTAGTAGTAGTAGTAGTAGTAGTAGTAGTAGTAGTAGTAGTAGTAGTAGTAGTAGTAGTAGTAGTAGTAGTAGTAGTAGTAGTAGTAGTAGTAGTAGTAGTAGTAGCTGTGTGGATCAGGATGCGATTCCGGTAAGCCATGTGGCTGGAACCCAGATGATTGCGGACTATAAGCTTGACCAAGGGTACTTGAGCGTGAAAATTTTCTGGACACGTACGAACTGTGAACGCATTTTCACTTGAACTGCTTTGGCTGGAATTCTGGTGATTGTACTTGTCGTCATTAACGAAGTGACCAGAGAAGTGCTCCATGGTGCCGAAAACGTGGCACTATTGCGAGTCCTTGTGTGTAAAGGTTCCGAGAGTGAGGCGTAAGAACATACAGGTTCAGCAGGCAGTTGCTCAAAAAACTCCCCAAAGATCTTTTGCGTATCGGTAGGCCCACTTTTGGTTTCCCCTGTGAAGTCGTTTTTGTCTGAATCGTCGAACAAGAAAGGTCATAAGATCCTTGATCCAGAGAACACGTTCCAACTCCAGCTGCCGGTCTAATGAAGAGCAAAGGACGTCAATAAGTCCCCGGCACGTTTTGGAAGTAATAGCCAAGTGTAGGTTGTACAATAAGCCTGCTTAGTTTTTTTCCGGTTCTCCATATCTTTGTCGTCCGATGTGGCTGTCCAACGCTGTCGCCACTTTCAGCAAGAAGCCAGCGCTTGCGGGCTAGAAGGCCAATAGTCACATGATGTCATATGCTTGCCACAAAGATGAGCAACAGTGCGTGACGGTAAAGATTTGCCACCGTCTGCGAATGGCTCAAGAAATGTGCGATGAGTTGGGGATGAAAGGGTGATGTGGGGGTATGGCCAGATCTCGGCTCCGTTTTTGTGGGTTGTGGTTCCTGAGTCCCTTCCCTAAGTTCAGGGTCTCAACAATGGTCAGCTGTGGTTTAAGGCTTGAACTTCCGCCGCGTGCTCAACTGCCCTTTGTTGAGCACCTTCAGGCAGCTATAGTTCCAGCGTCACTGGTGCTGCTAGCCCGTAGTGTGCCTACCATCTGACCGATAGGCCATCGGTTGGGCTTCTCTGCTGAAGACGTCGTGGGCAGAGTGGGGCGAGCACCACTTGAGCTAATAACCTCTTGTTTGGAGGTTCCACAGTGCTGCTTCTTTTCGGTGGGCATGGCTTCACAACATTCGAATCTGGGTACACAAACATAAACTGCGATCATTCGGGTCTTGTGCGTTCAGGGTATTCTGCCTGCACCTCCTTCCGTTGGCTGTAAAAACACGGTGCTCCTACTAGCATGTCCGCTGCAGCAACAAACCGAGGTACATGTCAATCCCCAACCCCTTAAAGAATGCAGGCTGGAGGGGAGGTGCATAAATGTAGGGAAGAAAGCCTAGATTGCCGGCATTGTGGCAAGTTTTTTGGAGGGGTGGGGGGGCTGATGTGGGGAGGATTGAAACGCCATGCTTCCTGATGGGGGGGTGTGTGGGGGTGTGCGAGGTTCGACGCCGCCATGGATGGGACTGGGGAAGGAAGAAAGGCTTCTATCCGAGCTCTACTGCCACGCTGCTCAAGCTATTTGTCACTTAACGAGCTCCTTGTGATGTCAAGCCATGCTTGCTGAAACTCGGGGTGGTGAGGGGGGCTTCTATCCGTGATTTTGGTCATTTAATACGGCGAGTCAATGCCGACGAGTGGCGAGTCTGTGTGTATATATATACGTAAATAAATTGTACCCCCCCAAAACCCACTCTCAAAGACATAAAGCTCGATATTTGGTTGTTTGAGCATGAGAGACTATTAATTAATTAACACTTTCCCCGTCCTCAACCTGACGGACCCAGGTCCTGGGAACCAAGATTCGTCCCAAGACTTTTCTAAGAATTTTGGTTCTTGGTTCTTGGTTCCAGGCGTTTTAATTACAACGGGGCTTGTTTTTATTAACACGCCCCCACTCCTTGGGAACCAAGATTCATCCCAAGACTTTTCTGGGAATCTTGGTTCTCGTCCCAAGACTTTTCCGGGAATCTTGGTTCTTGGTTCTTGGTTCCAGGCGTGTTAATTGCGTGTTCCCTCGAGTTGGATTGCTCCCCCAACTGTAAGGAAGAAGCTCATTCTTGGGGGTGGGGGGGCAAGCTTGCGTCATTTCATTCAGTCTGATTCAGGGCAGCTGTCTTGGTTTATTGTTCGCTATATAGCAAAGTGATAAGTTCATATTTCGTACTATAGCTATATATGTCCTACATAAATATGAGCACAGAAAACTTTGATGCGCATATTTGGAAATTACCCGTTTCAAGTAAAACCGGGTCCGCGAACCAAGAACCAAGAGTAACCCTGGAATTCAAACTTTAAACCCGAAACCCTACTCCTAAACCCGAAACAATTTAGGCTTTGGAATAGGCTTTGGAACAAAGGTTTAGATAGGGCTGAAACGTTAAGGAGACACCCGCAGGCACCGAAGCGTGATTGTTCCTGAACAAAAATCATGGAAAGAATCGGGTCTTAGTGTAAGGTTTTGGACAAGGCTTCAGCCTGAATGTTTAACAAATAGGGTTCACAGGAGAGGAGTCAGGCCTAAACATACAGGATACACCCCGCAGGCACCGAAGCAGGACTATTTCTAAACAATATACGTTGAAAGTGTGGGAATAGGGTCTGGGCTCTAGACAAAGTTCTTAGGGGAAAAGGGTCTAGGCTTTAGCGAATTGCCTTCAATGGCGAGGGAAACGTTCTACAGGAATAGGAAGACTGAGTATTCCTAAACAATTTCCGTTGAAACTATGGGAATAGGGTCTGGGCTTTAGTAAAACTTGTTTAGGGATTAGGGTCTGGGCTTTAGTGAGATCCCTCTTGTGACGCGGGGAAACATAAGGTTTTGGATTGATTAGATTAGGCTTCAGCCTACACCTTCAAGAGATAGGCTGCCTGACCACCAATATTCGTTGAAAGTATGGGAGTAAGGGTCTGGGCTTTATAGCTGAGGGACAAGGGTCTGTGCTTTAGCGACATGCCTTCAGTGACGAGGGAAGTGTAAGGTGATGGACTAGGTTTCAACCTAAATCTCCAACAAACTTTAGGTTTTCAGGAATAAGCATGAATATTCCTAGACAATTTTCGTTGAAAGTATGGGAATAGGGTCTTGGCTTTAGTAAAATGTCTTTAGGGAGGAATAGGGTCTGGGCATATGTGAAATGCCTTTCGTGACGAGGGAAAACAAAAGACTATGGACTGGGTGCCAGCCTAAACCTTGAAGAAATAGGCTATGCTACTCGTAAACAAGAAATATTCGCTGAATATGTGGGAATGGGTGTTAGCGGATGTTTAGTAGCGAGGGAAAATCTAAAGTTTTGTTAGCCTAAAGCCTAAACCATCAACAAATAGGGTTAAGTGAAATCTCTCTAGTGGCGAAGGAAAATTTAAGGCTTTGGAATAAGTTTAGGCCTAAACCTGTAGGGTCTGCATCTAAACCTTAAACGGATAAACATAGGGAAGCTCTGTAATGTTTAGTGGAATTCCTGAAGGTTTCAGCGAAGGGCATGCTTGTCAGCTACTGGAACAACTTTGCGTACAACGGGCTTAGCTTGGTGTTCAAATAATTTCGGATGCAAGCTTGGTGAATTTCTGTTGCGTGCGACCCGGAGGGGAGGGTCCAAAATCCACTTCCTCACACTGCCCTTGCCCATTGGTTGAAAGGGGTGGCCCGCCAGATATGGCACAAATTATATCGCAGCACCCCGCTCCCTTCCACTGTGCTTACATGTTTTTTTTGCTTTCGAAATAGCTTTTACTTCGGTTTTGCAAAATGACTCAGGTATCCCACGCGCCTCATTCAACACAAATCAAGGTTTTGTAACTGCAACCCCCAAAAACCTACATCAATAAGTCCTTCGCAAGATCACTTGGCTCCTGCCGGACGCGAGCCCTAAATCAACAATGCAAGTTCACAACCGCAAAGCAGAAACCTCCCTTGCCTGGTGCCCAAATCTTTGCGTCAATGTTTGTTGTCCAGAGGGCTTTGAGGAACTCAATGGCCTGAACACAGTGAGTACACTCCGAAAACTTTTTTTTCAAAAGCCATGGCCGACTTCTATTACGTGAAAAAGTACGCCAGTCCAAGGTGGGACTGGGTCTTGCAGGATTTAGGGACATTCCACCTGCGAGTACTCTGTTTCTTTTTTGGTGTCGGGGCTTACAGAAGCATGCCCAATAAGGCCTTGTAATAGTTGGGGCGTGCGTTGCAATTTCCAGAGTGAGGTCAAGGCATAGGGCTTCGCGTGTGCGTCCCGAGCTTTTTGGGTTTAGGATTTATGGTTGGGTTTTTCCTCCGTGCACTTGCCAAGAATCTAGCACTTCTTCCATGTGACAGGCAAAAAAGGGCCCTGAAGACGGCGGCTCGTCGGCATTTTGAGAGGCACTGGATTTGTGGTTGTTGAGTTTTGGCCCCAGGACTGCTTGGTTGAGCGGCATCGTGGCCCAGCCTGGCACTTGGCCAGGGCTCGTGGCCTTTCCTTGCGGCGCAACAAAGTTTCAAGTAAAATCGATTTTCAGCGAAATGCTGTCGTAATCCACATATGCCTGCTGTCTGAAACGGCTCACGCAGTATGCAGACCGTTACATTTAGATTCGTTCTTGGTGGGATTGTGTGGCCTGTGCAATACCCGCGGAACAGAGTGCGTATCCAATTGTCTTGATGCGGTTGGCGAATGTAAGGGGTCCCTTAAGTGACTCTCAGGTCCCGGGCGTATGCCGTTGCGGGATCTCTTGATAGGGCACCTCTTGGGGGGGGGCATTCCACCCGTCCCTGTCAAGCGATTCTCGGGGTGGCTGTTTGGGGCTGCGCTGGAGTTTTTTAAATGCTTGGAGGGCGGGGAGGGCTCACTGGAGGGTGGCGAGGGTGCGCGGGGCAGAGGGCGGTGATGGATCTGCTGGTTGGTGAACCAAGAACGTGGAAACCAGCCTACGTTGGATGTCATTTCGTAGCGGTTGTAGATTCTACGTTCTGATTGTACTCTCTTTCGCTCTTTCGCTCTTTCGCTCCTTCGCTCTTTCGCTCTTTCGCTCTTTCGCTCTTTCGCTCTTTCGCTCTTTCGCTCTTTCGCTCTTTCGCTCTTTCGCTCTTTCGCTCTTTCGCTCTTTCGCTCTTTCGCTCTTTCGCTCTTCTCGCTCTCTCTCTCTCTCTCTCTCTCTCTCTCTCTCTCTCTCTCTCTCTCTCTCTCTCTCTCTTTCTCTTTCATGTATATGTTTGTGGACATGTATCTACAATATCTATATACGTATACATACGCATTTCGTGTGTGCATGTAGTGTACAAATACATATTTCATGCCCTTGTGCATCGTATCATGCTCAACTTCCAAGCCATAGCTCCAGGATCCGCGCCTGGTTCTGCTTCCGAGCCCGTCCAGGCCGGGGAAGCAGAAGTTTCTGGGTTGCATGGCCTTGTTTTTTTCATTATTGCTATTTGTTTTTTCTCGCTCTCTCTCTCTCTCTCTCTCTCTCTCTCTCTCTCTCTCTCTCTCTCTCTCTCTCTCTCTCTCTCTCTCTCTCTCTCTCTCTCTCTTCATCTTTTTCGCTTTCTCTCTGTTGATGTGAGATTATAGTTGCTATTTGCTTCTTTCCTTGTTTTAACATCACTTGCGTTTGATTCCTGCTCTCTTTGCGAGTAGCGGCGAGATCATAGCTCTCTGTCTTTGCACTTCTTGGTTGTTGGGCCCCTACCCCAGAAGAGCAGCCAAGCAGGCCCAGAAGCCTACAAGAACACAGCAACTGCCACTCGCCGAAAATCTTTTACACCTTTGAACCACCAAGCTTGAATGCCAGATTCCCTCAGCACAACGACCTGGTACCTACGTAGCCCAATCGTTCTTGGAAAGCCTCCGCCTGCCAAGGCCCTTGTTGGATCCGGCCAGGCTGGACCTTGCCGCGCTGCTGGATGAGGCACCTCGTGTCGGGCACACAAAAGCCACCTTTTCATTGTTCCTCGTGGTATAATGTGGTAGACTCATGGGAGATTCAGTAGGAACTGGAGATCCTTGTGTTTTGCATACGGAAGCTTCGGGGGGCAGATGTCTGTAGCGGGAAAACCGCCCAAACCTCCAAGAGCTCCCCCCCCTTAATGGCTCGTAACGTTGAAGCAGTTGAAGCCTGCTTCCTCAGCTCCCTTTGTGTCGTCCCTTCCGTGGCCCCCTCGCCCGGAGCCTCGCCCCAGGCCGCGGGCCTCGACTTGCGCTCAGTTGGCGCAGCTGCGCAGCCAAAGAGGCGGAAACGGGAGAGACGCGCTCTGGGCGCACGGCCTGCTGTTTCACCGAGATTTGCCAGAGTGCTGATCTCAAGTGTAAAAAAAGCTGCATGTTCCGAAGTAAGACACCGTGCTGTAGCACAGTCGGAAAATAAAAAGACAACAGAGAAAACAACCACGCAAAAAAACCGAGACTCTTGATGCTGGCAGGGGGAGAGCAAGGCCGGCTCAGGAGAAGGAGGCGAAGGAGGCGGGGGTTTCCAACAGATGCCAGCGGCAGCTCAGCCCTCCCGAGTCTGAGCCGAGGGAGCCTCTTCTTTTGTGGGATTCCTTTTTCGAAGCCCCAGGATGCACTTCGCTACGCTGCAAGCAGAGGGCTCGAGTGAATCAGGGTCGATCCAAACCTCCAGAAGCCCGCCAGTCTTGGAAGACCCAGCTGTCGCCAGGCGCCCAACGCAAAGCGAGGCTGATGCTGCTGCTGCTGCGTTGTTTTTCGGTTGTCACTCCATCTGGCTTTCTTTCATGGGCGAGATTCGAGCATTCTCATCTTGTATCTGAGACCCCAAAAGCATGGTTTTTGAGTTGGCTCCATGGAAGAGTGCAAGTTTCTCCGTGTCGGGCGCAAGAGAAGAGTGGACGAGAGACCTGGCGCAGGTCGTACCGAGCAGAAGGAGAAGGGCGGAGAAAGGCCCCCCCGTTCTGTGCTCGTTTAGAGAACCACGGATCCGAAAGCCCCAGCTGGTTGTGAGAGCAAGGGATGCTCAGGGTTTAACCTGGGAAGTGTCTTCTGATGCTTTCAACCTGACTTCGCGGAGTTCGCCCTGCCCTAACGCTCCGGCAGGTGACTTGACATGAGTGCAAGAGTAATGCACCCGGACGGTTGACAGTTAACCTGATTACGTGGATCGATCCGGTCAGCGTACTGCTGTTGGCCCACCCCCTCATACCCCATACCCCCTGACCCCCAACATTCCCAAAACATACCGTATCCCAGCACCCTTTACATACCCTCTAATCTTCCCCCAAAACAGCCCCAGCCTCCCGCGGATATACCTCCTACCCAATCCCTTTTCCGTCTTATACCGAAGGCTTGGAGTTGTCGAGGCTGCACAAAGGAAGCAAGGGGGCCAACTCAGACCTAGTCACCTAGTCATAATGTGCATGATGGGTCAACTGGGAATCATGGCTACACTGGGGTGTAGCTTCTGCCAGGCATGCTGACTTGGAGGACAGGGCTGCTCACGCCGGGCTGCGGGAGCAGTGCAACCTTGATCCTTCCGATCTGAACGCTCCATGCCTGGTGGGAGGATCGAAAATGGGAATCAGATCAGCGAGAGGCGCCCCGGTCCAGCAAGCATAGTTAGGTAGCGTGTTCAATGACCTCAGTTTAGGCCAAAGCAGTGTACGCGCAGGTCTCTGGGGTGCAGGATTGGGAATGTCAACAGGATGATGTGCTGGAGGGCATTCTTCAGTTAGGCGTGTTTCGCGTGCTTGACAGCTGGGCTGCTAGAGGCAACTCTGCATGAGTGGGCCAAGCGGCAGGCCGGAGCGTTTGGGTTCAGGGTTTCCTAGAACCGCGCAGCTTCAGGGAATGACTTGATTGAGCTGAGGTGGACTCAGGGCGGGACATAGGGATCAAGGTAGCCCATCTCTAGAAACATGATCGCCTGCTCCAAGCAATCGGTGCAACCGTCCGATAAGCCTGAAACTCGAAGTGCCAAGCCGGCGTTAAGTGCATCGGGCTTCTTGATTCTCTGATGTCGGTGCCGTCCCTCCGAGAACGGGAATACCGCTAGCTTCAAAAGCCAGTCAGCAGGCAGGTTGAGGAACCAAGAGCCAACATGCACCCAAAGCGAGGCCGAGGAGGAGGAGAGGCTCTCGCAGCTCGATTCCTTGCTGCTTCAAAGGGCAGAGACCATGCGGGGCCGCGAGGCGCGGCCTGTGTCAACTAAACCGTAGACAATAGATCCCTTCAGTCCTACCCAGCTCCTGAGCCCCATATGTTGCGCAAAGAATCCTCGAGGCCGATCCACACTTGGTATCATGGTTTGGGTTTAGGGGCTGGGGTATGCTGGGTATGCCGGGTATGCCCGCTCTAATGACTGCAATGGGTACATTGGGTCTATTGGATGTACTTGGGTGTGTTAGGTATGCTGGGTATGTTGGGTTTGTGCCTCTCCTTTCTTTTGGCAGGAGCAGCTCAGTGCACGTGAGCGGACGGTCGCCATGGCTGAGGCTGGCAGAGCATCATTTAAAGTGTCGTATGGCTTTCTGCCAGAGTTGAAGAAGCACCCCTACACGACCCTACAGATTCATTTCTTAAGGAACGCGGAAAGAATCCCCGCAGATTCGTCAACCTAGGAGAGAGCAATCGACCCGCAAGCCTGGTTGCCTCTTTCGTTCGTTGCACCGCGCAGGAAAATGTTCGCCAAGCGGCGGAGGCCCGGAGAAGCATCAATGTTGCTGCTTTGTAGGGGTTACTTACGCGGCCTTCCCAGACATCCAAACTTGAGCCGCAAGCTCTCAAACACACAGTCATCTCTTGGCTTGTTAGCCCTTCGTATCCTTCAGGAGACCCCTAGAATGAGAAATGCCCTCCCCAATGCTGACGATGCTCGGGCACGGGGCGCGGGACGAGTGTCATCAGCACAGATGAGGGCCCGTTTCCTTCATCCGGGATCTCTCTCGCGGACATGAAAGGCATAATGGTTCAGAAATGAGAAGCCGCTTCTAGTACTATTCATACCGGTAGCAGAACAGGTTATACTCTGCTTATTGTGGGAAGGGCGTTTTCAGCATTCATCTCGCAACATATCGACCAAGCACACATATCAAGCAAGCACACACCGAGCTTCTCTTTCAACATGCACAGCATCGAAGCCCTTGTAAAGCTGAAAAGCGTTTAGACGGATATGGCTGAGGAGCTGGGGTTGAGTACCATTCGGTGCAGCCTAAGCAAAATCACAACATCATCCCAAATCATACTCAGCGTACCCATTGACGGACACAATCTGAGGCAGCCAAAGGTATTCTTTCTGGCTTATCCCGGGCGGTTAGTTCGGAATGGGGGATGCGCTACGGTTGAAAAAAGAAGTGAAAGTTCTTCTCCCATACCCGGTCCTGTGACGGAATGACAGGAGATTGTGCAGCTGAAGCAGCAGTTGCAAGAAGCCAATCAGCAGATCGGCGACCTCACTTGTCGACTGGCGACGAACAAGGCCTGGTAAAGGCTGTGGGCGAGTGGGGTTTGGAAGGACGTGAAAGAGAACCATTGTGTTGACCCTCTGTGTGAGCACTGCGCCCAAAGCAGTGGCCAACATGCGCCAAAACGCTAAAGCACCCAAAAGCGATCCTGAGTGTTCGGAGACCCCCTCAGAAGCTCCTAGCTGCTATTCTTAGCAAAGTCGGCTGTAACTCTTGCCCTAATGTACTCTTAACTACCGTAGCGCCTAAACACTAAATCCCTACACCCCTGACCTGGGCCCCATTTGTTGCGCAACGAATCCGTGCGGGTGGTTCTGTCGATCCATACTGGGTATCATGGTCTGGGGTGTAGGGTTTTTGGGTTCTTGTGGCGAAACTGGGTATGCCGGGTAGAGCAGCTAGAATGAACGCAATGGGTACATTGGGATCGGATGTATGTTTTGGATGTATTGGGTATGCTGGGTATATTGTGTTTGCCAAATGGCCAGAAGAGTCAGGCTTGCCAGATGAAACGGTGTGCCTCTCTGTTCGACAAGATTTTAAGTTCTGAGTCTTGTGCCAGGAGCAGCTCAGTGCACGTGAGCGGACGGTCGTCACGGCTGAGGTTGGCACAGAATCTTTCTAAAGCGTCGTATTGCTTTTTGCCAGAGTTGTAGAAGCGCCCCCCAACCCATACCCAGTCCTACAGTTCCGACATAACCTTCTGGAACCCTGCGAGGGCTTCATAACCTAAGGAGCCCGGAAAGAATCCCCGCAGATTCGTCGTGCAACCTAGGAGAGAGCAATTGCCTCCTTCATTCATTGCCCTGCGCAGGAAAATGCCCGCCAAGCGGCGGAGGCCCCGAGAAGCATCAACAGTGCTGCTTCATAGGGGGATATTGTCAGGGCTTTTCATGCCTGGCGCCAGACACCCAAACTTGAGCCGCAAAGGCTCAAACAGTATAACTCCTGTCCACCACGCCTTCTCACTGGCTTTGCCCCCCTCATCAGCGCAAATGAGAGCCCGTTTCCTTTATTCGGGATCTCTCTCGAGGACATGAAGGGCCCAGGCGTTCAGCAATTACAATGAGAAGTCGCCCCTAGTACCATTTTTGCAGGTAGCAGAACAGGTTCCACCCTGCCCAATGTGGGAAGGGTGTTTTGGGCATTCACCTCGCAACGTATCGCAGAAGCACACCCAAGCTTCTCTTTCAACATGCGTCGCATCGAAGCCCTTGTAAAGTGACGGGGGGTGCTCCGAAGCAAAATCACAACATCATCCCCATTCATACTCAGCGTCCCCATTGAAGGGCACAATCAGAGGCAGCCAAAGGTATCCTTCCTGGCTTCTCCTGGTCGGTTAGTTCGGAATGGGGGACGCGGTACGGTTGAAAAGTAGTGAGAGTGCTTCTCCCATACCCGGCTCACCAACAGGTAGGTTTGCTTCAGCTGCAACAGAGCCTTCTGTGACCGAATGACAGGAGATTGCACAGCTGAAGCCGCAATTGCAAAATGCCAACAAGCAAATCGGTGACCTCACTCGTCGACTGGCGACGAAAAAGGCCTGGTAAAGGGTTTGTGGGAGTGGGCCTTGGAAGGACGTGAAACAGAACCATTTCATTCTTCCTTCTCACGGCCAGTGCTTTGTGTTGTCAACACAGTTGTCCGTGCTTCTTCCAGGAGAAGCTCACGAAAGCACGGGCCGAGGCAGAGGGGACGTAGCCAGTGTTCACTTATGATTGCAAAAGTTTGCAAGACCCCCCCCCCCCCCCCCGCCGATAGCATTTTCGTCTGGTCTTGCCAGGCAAAACGGCAGCAGCAAAGGAAGGAGGAAGAGGCCATCGGTACCAAACCCCATTTTTGCGGGCTCCCATGCGATCTAAGCCATCATGGGCCAAGGCAGAGGGGACGTAGCCAGCGTCAACTTGTGATTGGAAAATTTTGCAGGACCCCCCCCCCCCCTTATAGCATTTTCGTTTGGTCTTGCCAGGCCAAACGCCAGCAAAAGAAGGAGAAAGAGGCGATTGCCACAAGGGCAGTTCCCCACACACCATTTTGGCGGGCTCCCATGCGATCTAAGCCCCTTGTCGTAAGTGAGTCCCAGGCCAGCTTGTCACTCTTGTTTTGATATAAGTAGTGCAATCTCTCCGGGGCCGTGAAGGAGAAGCTCCGGAAAGAGGAAAGGAGGCAAAAGGAGGAGAAGGAGGCAGGAACTGATGCAGTAGGAGTCCAGCCCAGCCGCCAAGATTGTGGTAAGTTGGAACGTGACTCTTTGACTTGGTCTCCGGTGTGGAACCCTCGAAATAGTCTATCCCCTTGAAATCGATGCTGGAATGAAGTGGAATGAAGATCTCGCCTAAACGCAGGATAGGAAGCGCGCCAAGAGGAAGCGCCGGGCTTAGTCCGTGCTTGGCACCTCTGCGTTCCTTGCGTCCATTCATAGTCCACCCGGGTCTGCGGGTGCAGCCCCTTGCTGGCGATGTGAGTTGGCGAGCGGTTGACGAAGGTTGGGGCGGAACTAGTAAGTAGGATGGATAGGAGGGTGTGGCTTAGAGGCATGGAGGCATTGACGAAATTGACCTCCGTGTCCATGTTGCTCCAGCTGCAGCATGCCTGGAGTGAGAAAAGCTGCGCCACTCAGGATCAAAGAGGTGGTGAGAAAGCTGCAAGGCATGGGGCTCATGCATGAGCAGTGTCAGTGTCAGTCATGGGACGAGTCGGGCAGTGGGGTTGAAGGTTGGGCTTAGGCGCGCAGCAGGATTAGTTTCGGAACTGTTCAAAGCTCGCCGCAGTTTGTTTTTTTAGAAGTTTTCGGAGTCAAGCAAAGTACGACACTCACGAGAACAGGGCGCACGGGTAAGTGCATTCTGTCGGTCTCGCATGTTCCGCTGCTTCCTGATCGGTCTTCCCTTGGCACCCTGCAAGCTCTGCCCTCGTTTCCAAAGGGCCGTACTGCGGGAATGATGGGTACATCCCCCCCAGCAAGAGGCACATTGCCATCAGTCATACTCACTGGAACATATACACGCCACAACGGATACGTACCCTGACGATGACGCAGTAGAACTCAAATCCTGGGCCTGTGAGGTGCAGCGGATGCTGGTCTTGGCCTCAGCCAGTCAGAGCATACTAAAAGGTAGCCGGGTGAGGTGCTGCTGGCCCCTCCCCAATGCCACGGTTTGGGAACAGTCGACGCTGGAGTTGCCATGAGGTGCTGGCAGGTTGTGGTTTGATACCTCGAGAAATCATCCATGTCGCTACCAGTTCGGGACATGTGTTTCATCATGGGTCTAGCCGCAAATTTCCTGAAAACCCTGTCAGTATCCAGGGTTCAGAGCCTCTAGGGCTTCAGAAGTCGTTGCCACATCTCTGCAAATGCCGCTTTGCCTGGCTTCAGACATATATGCCCTGCCCAGACCCTAATATTTGAATGAGGTTGAAAAAGGGACATGGGAAGATAGAAGGTCTAAAAAATGGCCTGCAAGCATCAAAAATAGGCAAGAAACGTCCTGCAATTTGCAGACTTTGTTCAAAAAGTGTCCAAAGCAGAAATGCACCCAAATCACCAGCAATGGCTTTGCAAGGCTCCACAGTGGCTAGAGATGCCACAACCCCGATCTTGACCGATCCCGAGGGCGCCCCCCCGCCTCTCCGCGCGGCCGCGGCCTCTCCGTCCTCTCATCCCTGTCCAGGGCCCCAGCTTTTGGCAACAAGCTTGTGTTTCTCCCTGAGTTACTCAACTAACTCAACTTCAACTTGTGCACTTATGCCCCTAAACAACTCCTCACCACTACACACAGATCCCGAACCGTCCGTGTTTTGGATCCTTTCGGTCTGCCCTAAACCCTAAACCCTAAACCCTAACCCTAAACCCTAAACCCTAAACCCTAAACCCTAAACCCTAAACCCTAAACCCTAAACCCTAAACCCTAAACCTGGTTCTCAGGATGCTTCCGCCCCTCAAGCGCGGGGGCCCAGCATGACTTCATCGGCGCGGGTTGACTCGTTGCCTTCTGGCCATGAGGCTGTGGGCAAGTGCATATATATATATATATATATGGGGTACCCTATATAATCCCTTAAAGGGGACAAGTGTATATATATATATGTATATATATACATATAGGGTACCCCATATAATCCCTTAAAGGGTATATATATATATATATATATATATATATATATATAGATTCTTTGCATTTTAAGATGTCGCCGAGGTTGGCTCGTCGCCTGTCTCTTTGGCCGGCCGGTGCATCGGACCTGTTGCGCAAAGCTAGTCAAAAGCTTTGGGATCTTGTGGTTCGGAATTGAAACGCGTGGCAGGTTTCGGGATTTCATGGAGTCAATCGCTAGCTCACAAGGTCCAGGTGCTAGTCTCAGGGGCTGTTACACATGTGAGGTTATCGACTCTCAACAGTTTCTAAATGTAGACCCTGAACCTTACGCTCTTCAGAGTCCGACTCCCCAGGTCTTAGGGTTCCAAACCTTAATTAAACTCACAACCTCGGTTTCTCAGGTGCCAGTGTCGCACCTGTCCCGCAGGAAGATGGTCGGAACACTCAGCTAGGGCTGCTTGTTGAGGTGTATTGGTTTTTGGGTCAGGGTCTTGGGCTTGTGTTCAGGTTTTTTGGGTGTGGTTTCAGAGGTTCGAGTCTGAATGCCCAAGTTTTCAACGAGAAGCATTTAGGAACAGATGAGTGTTCAGTCACGAGGCAACTGCCGACACGCAGTGTGCTCAGCGAACCCCCCGCCCCCGGCACCAGAACCTGGGGCTCTGGGTCCCAAACTCTGATCCCCTAAACCCTAAACCCGAAACCCGAAACCCTAAACCCTAAACCCGAAACCCGAAACCCTAAACCCTAAACCCTAAACCCTAAGCCCCTAACAACTTGTGGCGCCAAGGCAATCGCGACGCTGCAAGGCGCGCCTTCCGCCGCCTTTCGAACCCCGGGTTTTGGCTTCCCTTGTAACGTAGCCTATACTCCCTTTAGAACCTCAATAGAAATAGTACCTTTAAAAATATCCTCTTGGGGTTTTACATAAATAAAACTACAAAAATTCCCCAACTCTTATTTTAATTTGGTTACTGGGGCTACTAAGTGGGTCTTTGCCAGCTTGCAGTGGCCATTTATCAGGATATGTCAGGACATCCCAGCACTTCACACGGAACGGAGGGAATCAGTGAATCCACGGATGCGAACGTTGAAACCTTCTGTTCCTTCGTAACCCCAAGAGTCTTGGCACCCAAGTCAGTACTGGTGGTTCATAGGGAAAGAAGGAATGAGTCATGTGGCTACTGCTTCAACCTCCGGGAATACAAAACAAACACTATTGCTACAAGTCTGTCATTCCCTAAACCCTAGACCCTAGACCCTAGACCCTAAACCCTAAACCCTAAACCCTGAACCCTAAACCCTAAACCCTAAACCCTGAACCCTGAACCCTAAACCCTCAACCCTAAACCCGAAACCCTGAACCCTAAACCGCATGAAATTTTCCGAAGCCGTGTGGAGGGAAGAAGAGGCATCGCAGATCCTCGACTGGCCAGGGGCTGGGCTGAGCATTTAAGGGGTCTGTGTGGCTTGCGGAGTTTGAAGGGTTCAGGGTTTAGGGTTTAGGGTTCAGAGTTTAGGGTTTAGGGTGTAGGGTTTTTAGGGTTTAGGATCCCAAAGTTCTGGCCGCACGTGCTCACTTGTGCGCCCCAAGTGGTGGAACCTTGCTTGGTTCGATGAGGCATTTTGAAGAAGTCCTACTTGGCTGTTGTGCGTCAGTCATCAAATCGGACAGTTTCTAGCCTCTTCTAGCAATTTGGGTAGAAGGTTTTTGAGGCTGAGGGACTTTGGAATGAGATTTGCAGCTTGGCGCGGTGCAGGGGGTCGTAGGGCTTTCGTTCGGTTTACTTTCCTAGTCATTTCATGGGACGTGGATTGACTTGCTACGCCCCGATTCGTTGTTCACAGGCTCTACCAGCTTGAAGGCCTGCGAAGCACATGAGTTGAACAGAGTATTTGGCTTTGGTGCGTCTCCTAAACTGCAATTAGATCCTAAGCCCTAAGCCTTAAACCCTAAACCCAAAACCTTAAACCCGAAACCCTAAACCCTAAACCCCAAACCCCAAACCCTAAACCCTAAACCCTACAATTCATTCCGGACAGTTGCGCTCCAAGGCTGATGATCGGCGGCCAGTTCGCCGCGACGGCGCCCGAGCTCCGGAGGATGACGTAAGTTCCCAGGGTTTAGGGTTTAGGGTTTAGGGTTTAGGGTTTAGGGTTTAGGGTTCTCCAACCCAGGCCCCAACCAAGCCTTTCTGAATGCTGCGAGGGTTTAGGGTTTAGGGGTTCAGGGGTCTAGGGGTTCAGGGGTCTAGGGGTTCAGCATTTAGGGTTTAGGGTTTAGGGTTTAGGGAAGCTAGGTAAGGCCGCTGTAGGCTTCAGATCGGAGATTCTGCTTGCGCCGTCGTCGGCAGAGCCGGGATGTTGCGCCCCTCCTCTGAAGGACCGGAGTGACGCACGTCCTGAATTGCTCGGAGTCCGGGAGCCCAGACACAAACAAAAGGGAGAGGGCTGAGGGTTTAGGGTGTAGGGTTTCGGGTTTCGGGTTTAGGGTTTCGGGTTTAGTTAGGGTTTCGGGTTTCGGGTTTAGGGTTTAGGGCTTAGGGTCATCATGGGACACTGTTTCTGCGAGAGTGCCAGCTGTCCTGGTTTGTCCATGGGGATGTTCAAACCCCAGACAGTGGGAGCCTCGCGCGTGTCGTCTGCACAACGCTGGCAGGAAGGTCCCATTTCAGACCTCCGTGCAGACCTGCAACATGCCCGTCTTCCTTGAGGCGGGTGTCTCATGCTTCCCAGCCTCCCATATTGCTGCAAAAGCGCGCAGGATGAGGCAGACGAGGAGTTGTCCAGAGTGCTTGAGACCGCCGTGACTTTCCTCGACGAGGCAAAGGGGAGTGAGGTGAAGCATGGGCCTGGAGGCATTTAATTTCGGGACGGCAGGGTGGCTTGAATGCTGCGTTTCAAAGACTCATGCGAGACTTGCCATGCTAAAGAACACGTCCACCCTGTGGGAGGCTCCTCTTGCCAAACACATGTTGACCTCAGGCACTGCCTGCTGGCTACACAACCAAAGCGTAAGCTGTCAGGCGTTGGCTCATGCACCCCACAAGATTTGAAGAGACAGCTATAAATAATAGCATGCTCAGATTCCTAAACCCTAAACCCTAAACCCTAAAGCCTAAAGCCTAAACCCTAAACCCTAAACCCTAAACCCTAAACCCTAAACCCTTGCAAAAGGCTCAGGGGCCTGAAAGGAACATGTTCGCAGAGGCGATGCTCGGGTCCGAGGCTCGACAGAAGCTTTGGAACCCACCCCAAACCCCAAACCCCAAACCCCAAACCCCAAACCCCAAACCCCAAACCCCAAACCCCAAACCCGAAACCCGAAACCCTAAATCCTAAACCCTAAACCCTAAACCCTAAACCCTAAACCCTAAACCCCAGACCCTAAACCCGAAACCCCAAACCCTGAACCCTAAACCCAGCCAGCAGGTGCGGCAGCGAGGTGGCCGCTGCCTGGTCAACTGCCGCAAAGGCAAGAGCAGATCTGCTGGAGCCTCAAATTGGGGGGGGGGGGGGGGGGGGTTTCCGAAGATAGGGTTTAGGCTTTAGGGTTTAGGGTTTAGGGCTTAGGGCTTAGGGTTTAGGGTTTGGGGTTTAGGGTTTAGAAACCCCTGACCCTTATAAGGGACCTTAGAGGTAATGTAGGGGCTACTAGGTGATATAAGGTGTTTATGGGGGTTATATGGGGGTTTACGAAAAGAAGGGACCCTCAAACTAGATTCCCTTTTCACAAGGACCTCAATAAGGTACCGGCTAATTTGGAACCCCTCATATAACCCCCATAAAATCCCCGGTGCCCTTGTGGAGACAATCAGAGACAGTGGGGTTCGGGATTTGGGTTATAGCAGGTCGTGGGCTCCTTGATGGTTTGGACCCGAAGTCCCCCACACAAAGAAAGTTGCACCCTTCAACTTCAACCCACATCCCGGTGCCAAGGTCTCGATCGTACTCGCCTACCTCGTCCTCCGACAAGGCAGCGCCCCTAGAAGCTCTCATCACATCCAAATAGGGTGTTTTACGAATATAAGGGACGAATAGAAGGAATTCCTTACCATCAGAAACCCTCAACCCTAAACCCTAAACCCTAAACCCTAAACCCTAAACCCTAAAACTGGCGGTTCCAGCCACCAAGGCTGCTCTTTGCAAGAGGCGTGGCACCTGGTCAAGACCCAGAGAGCAGCCTGCGGCCCAGTGAAGGAGCAAGGGCTCGCAGTTGACGCCTGTTAGTTGGGATTATTCACCCTTTTTTCGAACAGCTCCTTAAGGGGGATTCTGATAGGGGGTTACTATAATCCCTATGAAGGACTGTTGGTAAAAGGGGGAACATCCCAACTTGTCAGCCTCTCTTGCCGACTTTGAGGTGGCTCGGCCAAATTCGGGTTTTCGTCGGCAGCTTCGGCAGATGGAAGTGTGCCAGAGAGGCCCCCAGTAACGTAAGGGATGAGTCGTGCCAGAAATCAAACACGTCAGCCTGGCTGAGTTGAAAGTTGTGAAGAAGGGGCCAATTACAATGTCCGTTTCTGTGTCAGTGCCGCTGCCAAATGTCCATGTCTGGATATGTCGATGTCAGTCCGGATGCCAACTGCGACATTCGTGTTCCGCCTTATACTGACAGTCCTTAATAGGGATTCCTAACCCTAAACTCTAAACCCTAAACCCTAAACCCTATAGTACCCCCCCCTGATCCCCATGAAGGAGCTGCTAGTATAAGGGGGAACCAGCTTCTGCAAGTTCCACGATGCAGGCCGCTCCTCCATGGCCGTAGCCGACTTCGATGCCTGAAGGCGTCTCCCGCGGAGGCGATGTCCGACTCCTTGTTTTTGGGGTTTAGGGTTTAGGGTTTAGGGTTTGGGGTTTGGGGTTTGGGGTTTGGGGTTTGGGGTTTGGGGTTTGGGGTTGAACCCAAAACTCCTGGCTAGTGGCTAGCGTGTGTGTTTTGCTTTGCAGGGCTCAAATCTTGGGGGTAAAGGCTCAAGTCTCAAGGTTGTGGTATGGGAATCCCATGCTGGGCTAGGTTCATAGGCTTGTTTTGAGTTTGCAATTCCGGGGGCATAGGCCTCTTTTGTTCGCTTCAAAAATCAGTGCCATCATGTCGTCAAGGACGTGAGCTCGGGCAAAAGTGAAGCACCCCCGAAAATGAGGGCCCTGGCAATTTCAGACCTGCCATTTTCATGGGATCCCATTCTTCTCCCTAAACCCTGAAAATCACCCGTTGCAGAGTGCAGGTTCCAAGCCTGAAGTACACTGTCACGTGTGCCTTGGCAGAACAGACAACACAGTTTGCCGGCGGGTGCATCCTGGTGATTCCGTGCTTACGTTCAACTACGAGCCATAAGGATCGCGGTTCAATGTTCGAGCAGAGTTCCAAGTTTCCGTACAGCCCCCTTGCGTGTATTTGAACAGTGGGCTGTTTGGGGGTTCACTGCGAAAAGTAGGTCCCTGGCACCGGGAGGGGAGTGGGGTGGCCCGGTGTGTATTTAAGGAAATGCTTGTGGGCTTCGTCTGTTTAGAGCCGCCCGTGGGGAAAAGAAAGGCTCTTGATGTTCGGTAAACAGAAGCCCTGATCATGTAAACATATGCTAATATACAACACAATATACTAACATTCTTATATATATATATGTATTCATAAACAAACAGATCAATATAGTAACATACTCAAAACAATAGGAGGATAAGATAATCATACGATAGAAGTGAGCGGCCTAGCCTCAAAGACTCTGAGGAGTGCGCCTCGCGTGACGCGACCCTGGCCCTGAGCGGCATCAGCTTCTCGAACGCGGTCCCGACGCAGGATCTCCCCGTTCGGCTCTCGTATGCCCGATTCTTCAACTCCTTCCAGGGTGGCAGTGGCGATGCTGACTACTATCCAGTGTGCAGGACCGAGACCCTGTGATTTGCGATTTCGACCAGGCCGAGCACGACGAGAACGTGTGCCGCTTGGGGCAGCCCATCGTGGATGAAGAGCCTTGCCGAGAGGCAGCTGCACGTCTTGGCGAGGTCTTCTCCACCGCTGGTACCTGCTCGGGCTACCCGGCAAGGATGCCTTCAAGTTCCCCAACGGCGACGTCGACTTCAGTCGCCACGAGGGAAGCCTCCCCAGCCCCAGCGCAGCCCCGATCTGCAGAATGTGGGGGTGACATCCGGTGCCTGGGAGCTGGGCAGAGCTCGGCTTGTAGACTCGGCTCAGAGGGCAAAAGGCCGACTGAAGGGGGTTTCAAGGGTTTAAAGTTTTTGCGGGTGTCTCAAGGGTATGAAGGGTGTGCAGGGTTTAAGGGGGGTTACTTGAAGGGCTGAAAGGGGGTTCAAAGGGATTTAGGGGTCTAAGGGGTGTGGGCATGGTAGCACACGAGACGCAAGCATTGATTGGGTTTAACGCAGGGGCCTGAATACCTGGATTCCATTCCCGCGGTGCATGTTGCCACAATCCACACACAGGTTTCGGGGGAATAGGTTTTTGGGTCTCAGGGTCTCAGGTTGTTGGTTCATACTCAGAGTCTCATGATTCCCGACAGAAACCCCGCATTGCACACGACGGGAGACGAGCGCTTTTCGATCCTGCCGATGCTTTTGTGGCATACGTCTGTTTTCAAGGGTCCGCATGGGCAGAAGGTTGGGGCACACGGGCTGACAGCCCCAGCGCTGGGATCTTCAGCCCGGAGACTGTTAAACCCTAAACCCTAATTTTTCGGAAGCCCACAGGTGCCATTGCTTTGCCTTGATTGTGTGGGGGAAGAGAGAGTCTGGGTCGGTCTATTCGGACTAATGTCCCTTGACAGCCCTTGATTCCTTCGAAGCTTCCCGGGTCAAGGATGATCTGGTTTTAGAGCCATGCTGCCCAGCTCCTCCTGCATGGCGATCGCTCGCCGCTGAGACGCACAAGCCATTGCAAGACCCTGGAGGCCCCTAAGCCTTGAACCAAGAAGGCCCTCCACCCTACTAGGCGTCACCCAAGATCCCCTCGGCTCAGCCTGTGCTCTCAGCGCCGAGAAGTCTTGAGCCAGCAGTTCTCAGGGCTTCGGGTTTCGGAGCGTTCAATGCGATGTTGCTCTTGCCGAGGTTAATCCGGGCATGGTATGTTCGGACTGGGAGGAGGAAAGAAAGAGGAGAAGAAGGAGGATGAGGATGACGAGAACAAGGAGGAAGAGGACCCTGCTCTGTCATGCCTTGGGCGTACGACGTGGCATGTAGGGCCGGTGCTTCGCATGTAGGGTGCGCAGTTGGTGATTGGCCCAACCTTTAAGCCCTGCCTGTCGCGGTACTAGAGGGCGGCTTGCAGCCTTCATCGACTGGAACAGAACACAGGATATCACATCATTTTGAGACCCCCCCTTGGCTACTCCGGTCCCCGGTTGTTTTCCTGAGGTTTCCGCCTGGGGACTTCTTGGGTTTGAGAAGTTTCTGGGCCATGTTCTGGGTTCAGGACGCAGTATCTTGGGATCTAGAAACTGCAAACCCTAGACCCCAAACCCTAACCCTAAACCCCTAAGCGGTGTCTTTTGGAGCACCAGGAGAAGGGAGATGACAAGGGGGAAGGCGGCGATGACGCAGGCTCTCAAAATGCGGAGGGATGCCCATGATCGAGCCCCCAGAGCTCCTGGAGACCCGAAGCTTCGGATGCCCCTAAAACCCCGATTATTTTTCTAGGGTTTAGGGGTTTAGGGGTTTAGGGGTTTAGGGGTTTAGTGCCCCATAAGGCCTGAGAATCCTCAACCCTGCTTGTGGCTATTTCTTACAAGCCCCCCGGAGTAGGTTATAAGTAGATGTATAATCTGGGGTTTTAAGTACCCATGAACCTCCAAGCGTACGCTGGGAGAACGCCCTGCAGTGTCTTCTTGCTGCAGGGGATGGAGACGGCGACGAGGAAGTCACACAGGTGGCAAAGACCCGAAAGATCAACCCGGAGCAGTTTCTCAAGGACTATTTTTTACGTGGGATGTCAACCCTAAACCCTAAATCCTAAACCCTAAACCCTAAACCCGAAACCCTAAACCCTAAACCCTAAACCCGAAACCCCAAAATTTGCTTTTCGTTTTATCTGGGGTGTGTAGGGTCCGGGCCTCGATGGGCCCTTCTCAAGATGTCTTCGAGGGTCCTTTGAGGCTTCTTTAGGGTTTAGGGTTTAGGGTTTAGAATTTAGGGTTTAGGGGTTAGGGGTTAGGGTTTAGGAGGGCTCTCAGAGCACCATGGGGCTGAGAAGCTTCTGTACGCGTAAGAGAAGATGGACTCCCCCTTTTTTTGTCGAAGGCTGCCTTGAGCCCTCCCTAGCACCCCCCCAAACAAACCCAAAAACCTCTGAATTCTGATCTGAGCCCTCCCCCCCCTAAGCCCTGAAGCTAAAAGCTTTGAACCCTAGACTGCCCCCCTGGACCCAACAATGGCGACAGGAGGTGGAGGAGAGATCCGCTCCACCCCCAAGGGGCGACACGGAGCAGGACGGGTGGACGAAAGGTTGGAAAGAAAATTGTTTCTGCCTGTGGACGTAGGAGGGTTTTGGGGGCCTGCTTGGAGTGCGCGGCAGAGGGACCGACGTGAGATGTGCGAGTCTGTGGGCTCTGGGCTGTGTTTAGGTGTCCTTCGGATGTGCGTGTGCTGGGTTCGAGACGTTGAGCGTTTGAGGGCCTTCAAGCGCAAGTTGCCAGAAAAAGAATCAGGGGCAGTGGGGCCGGGAGAGCCCATTCTGGCCCCCACTTTTGCCCGAAAAATACCTTCCCCCGAAAAAACCCTTCCCCCGAAAAATTCCTTCCCCCCCAAAAAAGCCTTCCCCCGAAAAAACCCTTCCCCCGAAAAAACCCTTCCCCCGAAAGCACCCTTCCCCCGAAAAAACCCTTCCCCCGAAAGAACCCTTCCCCCGAAAAAACCCTTCCCCCGAAAAAACCCTTCCCCCGAAAAAACCCTTCCCCCGAAAAAACCCTTCCCCCGAAAACCCCTTCCCCGAAAGAACCCTTCCCCGGAAAAACCCCTCCCCCCGAAAAACCTTCCCCCGAAAAGCCGCTTCCCCCGAAAAGCCCTTCCCCCGAAAAAAACCTTCCCCCGAAAAACCCTTCCACCGAAAAACCCTTCCCCCGAAAAACCCTTCCCCCGAAAGAACCCTTCCCCCGAAACCCTTCCCCCGAAAAACCCTTCCCCCGAAAAAATCCTTCCCCCGAAGAACTCCTTCCCCCGAAAAACCCTTCCCCCGAAAACCCCTTCCCCCGAAAGAACCCTTCCCCCGAAAAACCCCTTCCCCCGAAAAACCTTCCCCCGAAAAGCCGCTTCCCCCGAAAAGCCCTTCCCCCGAAAAAAACCTTCCCCCGAAAAACCCTTCCACCGAAAAACCCTTCCCCCGAAAAACCCTTCCCCCGAAAGAACCCTTCCCCCGAAACCCTTCCCCCGAAAAACCCTTCCCCCGAAAAAATCCTTCCCCCGAAGAACTCCTTCCCCCGAAAAACCCTTCCCCCGAAAACCCCTTCCCCCGAAAGAACCCTTCCCCCGAAAAACCCCTTCCCCCGAAAAACCTTCCCCCGAAAAGCCGCTTCCCCCGAAAAGCCCTTCCCCCGAAAAAAACCTTCCCCCGAAAAACCCTTCCACCGAAAAACCCTTCCCCCGAAAAACCCTTCCCCCGAAAGAACCCTTCCCCCGAAACCCTTCCCCCGAAAAACCCTTCCCCCGAAAAAATCCTTCCCCCGAAGAACTCCTTCCCCCGAAAAACCCTTCCCCCGAAAACCCCTTCCCCCGAAAGAACCCTTCCCCCGAAAAACCCCTTCCCCCGAAAAACCTTCCCCCGAAAAGCCGCTTCCCCC